GTTATTGCAACCGGGACTCGAACTGTGCTAGTGCAGATCATTATCTTGACATGTTGCCCATCACACCACATCGCCACGAGATATTAATTTCAGTGAAATCCGCTTTATGTTCCCTTACCACATTCTATGCCGGTATAGTCAATGAAGCAAAGTTGTGTTTTTGCTACGGCAATCGACTAAATCAGCTATTTTTCGCATAAAAGTTGCTTTTTGAGCCCACCACTAGATCGGATTATACACGAAATAGATTCGCAGAATGCTTCTCGATTCTCCATTCGCTTGTCGTCTAAACCGAAATAAAACACGAGAATCCGCATTTTTCTCCGATGATCATCTGCCATTGTTTGAGCAGCGACGCCTTGCTTGCAAATAATTGGTTTGTCATGCCACGGCCACACTTTTTTCCACATTGGCGCATGCGTATATTGATTCGTCCTGTCGCGGCATCAGTGTACGGCAATTTTAAAATGGCGCACGCCAATTGGTCCAGAGCCGCGCCAGTTCTGACCGCTCTCATTGGCTGCCGCCTGCGCTCTGTGTTTTTGCGCCGTTGACTGGCTCGCGTTTCACTTCTCTGTCTCTCTTCCTCACACGCGGGCAGGCCTCGCCTCGCCTCGCCTGGCGGCTCGCATATTTCGCCTTGCGCCTCGGCGTCTGCCCGCCGCGCAGGGCATCGCGGCTCCACTGCGCCTTTCTCACGCTCTGTCCGCATCGCCTCTCGACTCATTTCGTCTCGCATCGCCTCGCATCGCTTCGGCCGATGCTTCCGAATCACGGCACAAATCCACCGAAATCCCGCGGCCGGCATCCGGTCGTTCCGCGTCGCTCAACTCAACTCACCCAAATCCGCGTAGTGCACTAACCTGTGATAGACCGGCACACACACTGTCGCCCTATTTAGCCCAGTTGGCATGGCAACTCATACGCCCGTCACCGGTCGCCACGATCGTCTGGACTGTTAGCTTGTGCACACTCGTGTTACTCACCGAATGCTGGCCCTAGTCGCCTGACAGGAGCTGACCAGCGTGTTCGTGTGTGTTAGTGTGTGTGTGTGTGTGTGTGTGTGATGTAGCACCTGTTGTGCCGCAGCCGCAGCGACAGTGATTGTCAATTCAACCAGGTGTGTAGGCTGCGTTCGCTGCTTCTCTCGCGGATGTTACACCAGCTCGACTCGACACGCGAGCCAGATCCGAGCGTGGACGTTCGTGCCAGTCGCTGACAAAGTCTGTAAGTAGTTGCGATTGTCTGCGACTGTCTGAGCTGGCGATATTTTTTGCTTTCATCCACACACCATTTGGTCAGGCAAAGTTGCGCTCCATTACGGTCGTGTGGAGCGTCGGTTGCTGGGGCTATCTGTGACGTGGAGGGGTCAACTTGTGATTATGATCATTTGATGAAGTATTTAGCGAAGAGCACGTTTGCAGGCGAGTTTGGTGCAAGAATTTGTCTAATTTCAATTTGGTAACTTGGTCGTTTTGTCAGGAATAGTTCGAATAACGACAATGTAGTCGTCGGATCGTTGATCAGATTTGGTTGATCAAAGTTTGTTTCTATCACAGTCGTGTGGAGCGCCGGTTGCGGGGAAAAACTTCAACATGGAGGGCTAAACTCGTAATTATGACTATTTGATGAACTACTTTGTAAAGAGCAAATTTTTATTCGTCTTATTGGCCAGAATTGGTTTAATTTAGATTTCGTAACTTGGTCTTGTTGTCAGGACTAGTTCGAATGACGACAACGACGACATCGGATCGTTGATCGGATTTGGTTGATCAAAGTTAGATTCTATCACAGTCATGTTGATCTCTGGTTGCAGGAGACAACTTCAACATGGAGGGCTAAACTTGTAATTATGATCATTTGATGAAGTTTTTAGCGAAGAGCAAGTTTGCATGCGAGTTTGGTGCAAGAATTTGTCTAATTTCAATTTGGTAACTTTTTCGTGTTGTCAGGACTAGTTCGAATAACGACAATGTTGTCGTCGGATCGTTGATCCGATTTGGTTGATCAAAGTTTGGTTCTATCACAGTCGTGTGGAGCGCCGGTTGCGAGGGAAAACTTCAACATGGAGGGCTAAACTCTTAGTTATGGCTATTTGATGAAATATTTAGTAAAGAGCATGTTTTCATTGGCCTTATTGTCCAAAATTTGTTTAATTTAGATTTCGTAACTTCGTCGTGTCGATATGGTGGTCGCTAGCGTCGAAATGGTCGGTGTCATCCTTAAAGTGGAGATTGAAAGCATCAAAGTGACGCGCAAAGGCAATACTAATAAAATATTAGAGTTTTATTGACAAATATTGGTCACGCCATCCGGAACTTGGCTACTCTTCATGCTACCATCCTCAACGACATGATGATTTGGTAAAATATTTTTAAGAGGCGCGTCTTTTAATTGTAAAAATGGCAACAATTTGCTTTCATAAAACTGCGTTCAGTGTTACTGTTGGCAGGCGGCAAGCGACAAGCGGGCAATTCACTAAATTGTAATGTTAAGATTACGGTGTGACAAGCGAAATAGTGTATTTGATGAAACAGGTGAGATACCATTGTCATGTGGAGGGGGGGAGATTGAGCCGTCCTCTTCTGGTGAGATCGACCTGTGAATCTCTACTTCACGACTTTCATACGAAATGCAAGCCTTTGGCTTAGTAGAAGACTCATTTTTCATGGTATAGAATTGGTACAGAGGCCTTCATCGTAGAAATCATGACGATTTTTATCGTCCTTGCCCTTGAGCGATACATTCCGCGACCTTCCACGAGCGGCAATTAATCAGTGCCGAATTAAATGAGTAGTCTTCTTGAACAATTGTCTGTCCATTATTTGAGCTAAATCTCTTCCTTGCAGCAGTTTTGCCCTTTGTATGAATCATATATAACCGATTACGCATAAAATGTAATGCTAAAACTGGCAGGATTAGTTTTCTTCCAACAACTTTGAATAAGAGAAGCATTTTCGGGTTGAAGGATTATTAGAGTCCTCTAGACCTGATACTGTAATAACTGATGCATTTTTCGTGGGTGTAAAAGTATTAACAACTGTTGGGTGTATAGGTCCTGCATATGCTAAAGCAAACTCGATGGCTCAAGTAATTTATATTCAGTCATTTTTGTCTTTTTCCAATCAAACTAATATTTACGCCTA